TGCTTCTCCCTCTGACCCTCCTCCCTCTCATGCTCTCTGTCTCTCATTCTCTCTGTCTCAAATAAATAAATAAAATCTTTAAAAAAAAAATAAATAAATGGGGTCCTAGCAGTAGGTGACTCTGTGCTGCTTCTGTGTTCTGGTTACAAACGATTATGAAAATAGCGCATATCGAGCAGGTTGAAGAGGGATTAAATAATTTTAAGCCTCGATGGTCTAACCTGGTTTACTTTTCACATCATGAAAAGGCCACCAAAGACAGGTGACACCCTGGAAGAGAACTAACCTGACCAAAGGAACAGACCTTCTGTCCCCCCCCACCCGGGATACGCAGAAAAGGCCCAGGTATGGTGCCAATGTAGCTTTAGGTGCATCCAGCAGTCGAGACCCAGGCTGTCAGGTGACCCAGAGGGCATTAAGTCAATAAATCCCACGATCCTGGCAGGCTGCAATGCCTAATAAAGCCCTACTTCCCTGTGGTTAACATCTTGTAGATAGTATTGATAAACAGCAAGGCCAAGAGCAACTGACACACTGTGTTCAAACTCACTCAAGCACGTATTTACGATCCCGTTAAAACTGACTCACAGAGGAGGTCTGGGGCACATTCATTAGTTTCTCTGCTTGCACAAAGAATATTCTTTCAACTCTTCTTCCCACCTTCCACAGGCCATTAGAGTACTTAGGTATGTAAGGTGATTCACTCATTTATAAATGTCTCAACATTGCTTAATTTATTCCAGATTCAAATCTTCATTAGGCATCTCTCTTCTGAGCCAGATGGAAGCAGATAATCCATATTAGTAGAAGTACCCATAGCTTACTTTTGTCTAGTAACTTTATGGTTTCGAAGCATTTTTTTTCCCTATTATTTCGTGAGTTCCTTGGCCTACAAAGAAAGGTAATTAAGAACACCCGAATTCATTAAAGCAAGTAGGGTTGTCCTCATGGAGCATCCGAAGAGAAAAACAACCTGCTGTCTTCTGATGAGTTAGTTAATACCCAAACTAAAAACAGCGAAAGCACTAGAGTGGAAATAAACAGCATGGCTAAGTCTATTTTCACAAATTTTTTCAGTGTGGCGATGAAAGCAGCATTTTTAAACATGAGATTCAGGAGTGAATTTGGGGTTGGAGATAAAGTGACAGACATGTGGAAGAACCTCAATGTTTGTGCTGAATAAAAGAATATATAGAATTGTCCAGTGTGAATTACCTGTACTTAACAGTTTTTTCATGTATTAATATGCACACCTTGTCTCAGAAAGGAATTAAAGCAGCCTTACATAAAATCATAAACATTTTCTAGAAAACTGTATTGCTGGAAAAACATATTTTTTCTCTATCTCTGTGGCCCCTGCTCAAAGACAGACATGGAAAGAAAAAAAGCTAAGTGCTTGTTTAAAAAAAAATATTTTAAATAACTCGCTCCTCCTGACTATTTAGAGGTTATTTCCGTGGAACAGACTGTTAGACTCTAAACAATAGATTGTTCAAAAGTAGTGGTGAGTAACCAGAAATTCTCAATGTGCACTCGATTTTGACTGTCTTCAGAAATGACACTGGATCAGCATACACACAAAAGCCTTAATTAGACATACTTCACCAGCCAGTATTGCCACCTTTTTTAGAGCATGTTCCTGATTTTCTGATTAAAATGGCTTCCTGACAAGAGGCACATAAGAATGCAATGTATTTTTCTAAAAAAACTTTACATTTATTTATATAGTACTTTACAAATTACCAAGTGCTCTCATATATACTGCTCGTTTAAGGCCTCGAGTGAGTTCAGGAGCCCATAAATGCATATTGCTGAATTGTCATTCTCTTACTCACTTTCCAACACTAAGGAAATGAAAAGCTCCCAAATGACCACAAATTCGTTTAAAAAGCTGTGTCCAAATAGCCACTCTGCTCAGGGCCCCTTCGTTAGAAATAAATGATGTGAACAGGCAAAGGTTTGTATCTTTAGCAGATAATCTAATTAAAGGCTTACAATGGCTAAAAAGCAGTATTTTCAAGAACTGCGAGATCCAGAAATTTTACCTTCCTTTTCCTTACCCTAAAACAGATGAAAATGTGTCTTTCTTTTAGATGTGAAACCATGGGAAATAGGCAAGTCTGTCAGTATCTACTTGTAATTTAAGAATGCCCACTCATGAAAACTTGGGCTGCATAACAAATGAAAACTTAACACACTGTTTCTGTGGAAATCAAAATGAGAACATCGGTAAAACTATAAAAAGTTGTCACTGATTTTTTAATAAACGGAACAATTATTGACTTCATTCCTACCCCCTTCCGATTACTGAGAGAAAATGGTAATAACAATCCAATGTAAGTACTGATTTTTAACAAATCAGTATTTTCATTTTATTTAACATGAAATGAACCTATGTCTATAGGTTAGTTGGGTAGAGAACACCCCTTCTAGTTTTACTACCCCACCCCCAATCCAAGCCATTACTTTCCTTCTTGTCTCCCAACTAAAATTCCACGTCTCCAATTCTCTCCTCTCTCAGAGAAACCATCCACCAGTCCTGGCTCATCACACCTCCAAAAGTACAGCCTTGATCTTGTCTCTCCCTCACAAACTTCACTAGAGCCCCACTGCTTGGAAAATGAAGTCTAAACACCGTCTGCATGATTTTCTGGGCTCTCCATGAGGCACACAACCTAATTTTTCAGTTACCTGTTCTCACTCTACCTCCCAAAGTAAACTCAATGCTCATCTCCCCATACACCACGGTGACTTCCTGGCATGAAATGCTCTCCCATCTTCTCAGTGTCAAATTTCCCTCATCCTTCAAGGTCCATCCTAAATGTTGCCTCCCCTAGGCAGACCTCCCAGATGCCTCCTGACAATTCTATCAATGCTTACTTCTACTGCGTGCTTACTATGTGCAAGGACCTGTCTAAGCACTTAAGACATATTAATTCATTTACTTTTCACATTGATCCTAAAACATGGGTTACTAATATCCCCAAGATACAGAGATGAGTAAACAAGCAGAGAAATACTTTTTTTTTTTTTTAAGATTATTTATTTATTTATTTGACAGAGAGAGACACAGCCAGAGAGGGAACACAAGCAGGGGGAGTGGGAGAGGGAGAAGCAGGCTTCCCGCTGAACAGGGAGCCCAATGCGGGGCTCGATCCCAGGACACTGGGATCATGACCTGAGCTGAAGGCAGATGTTTAACTGACTGAGCTTTTCTTTACATTCAAATGCCATAGTGGAGAGAGAACTAAGACTCATAGAAATGAGCAAGACAGGGGCTCCTGGGTGGCTCAGTCAGTTAAGCGTCTGACTCTTGATTTCGGCTCAGGTCACGATCTCAGGGCTGTGAGACAGAGCCCCGTGTTGGGCTCTGCGCTGGGCAGGGAGCCTGCTTAAGATTCTTTCTCTCTCTCTCTCTCCCTCTGCCCCCGCACCAAAAAAAAAAAACCCAAAGAAATGAACAAGACAATTCTTCACTTAAAAAATATATAACAATGAGCGATATTTAAAATATTAAAACCATGGACACATTGCATTACTTCAGTCACTAAATCTCCCGTGCCTGTTTTTGGAGGCCTCTAACTGGCTCTAAAGGTTTGACTTTTCCTTCAGGATATGCAACTATGAGGATTATTTTTTAAAAACATTCTCCACCAGGCAAAAATGCCACCAGAAACTAAAAGTACAAGGGAAATACAGTGTCACTCTAATGCCTGGGTTTTCTCTGAGCAAACAACAGACAAATGTGTTAAGGAGGAAACAGGAAATATTTATTGAAAACAGCTTTAGTGGTTAGTTGTATAAGATGAATGAGGTCCAGGAGACCCTTCTGTGTAAGGCTGGGAACTATTAGTCCATATTTGCACATTTCCTGACATGATGGGATGACTCTATCTTCCCTTTACCCCTCAACGGTGAGTTAAACAGAAATCCCCCAACTGTGTCATCATTCTGTTGAACCCGTTGATCTCAACCGGTTGAGCAACAGTAAATGGGTCCAAGCGTTATGTGATTACTTCCATCTTCTGTGTGCCCTATCTGCCCAGTGGGAACCATCAGGCTCTCTGCCTTCTTTGACAACATGCTACCAAAATCAGGACTCAAGGCAAATGCCACAGCTACATGGAATGTATTGCTTAAATAAAAGTCTAAGGAATTGGAGGAATGCAAGAAAATCCCAGATTCCTTAGATTCCCCCCAACATGACAGACCCGTGGCCAAAGACCCACGGAAATGTCTATCGATGCTTTTATAACCACGGAGAAGTACATTCGCTATGTAAAGGCAGGTGGTATTTTCTGATCCAAAACAAAACTCATTTCTCTCGCCTGGTCACACAGATTCCCTCCAATGGAAGAAGATTCTTCTTACCCATTTTCCAGCCTCCACTGAGGTGGCCAATTTATAGGACTGTCGTGCAGCTGGGCACCAACGGTGCATCTGTCCCTGGCAGGCGGGCTTCACAGGGCAGCCCACTGGAGAAGCAAACCATGGCTTCAAAACCTTGATCTCAGGGACTCTTAGCCCTGTATGCAGTAGGCATCACTTGGGAAGAGTTTTCTAAAACCACCAACCACCACCCACTCCCAGGCATCTGGATTTTCTCAGTCTAGGGAGGATCCAGGCAGTGTCTTTAAAAAAAAAGAAAAGCTCTCTAGGTAAATTTAAGGATAGCCAGGATTGAG